CTACAATTTTCTTAACAAGATTTTTGAAGGAATTTACCCTTGTCTGCTTTCTTGGGTTGAGAGAGGGTGACTGGCCCAAAGTCCTAAGTTGGCTTTGTGACTCAGGTGGGACTAGAATGTATAGTCTCCAGCCTGATACCTTTACCACTACGTTAAACTACTCTCAGACAATTAAATTTGTATAAATCTCTATTTTCCGTATACTGTAGCTTCATTGGCAGTTATGAAATGCTGTTTACATTTCTGGTTGGTTTTGATATATATAGCTTTATATTCTTATTCCCTTTAGACCAGGGGTCTTCAAACTTGGCCCTTTTATGACTCATGGACTTCAACTCCCAGAATTCCTCATCCAGGCACGCTGGCTGAGGAATTCTGGGAGTTGAAGTCCATGAGTCATAAAAGGGCTGAGTTTGAAGACCCCTGCTTTAGACAGAACCTATTACACCCAGGGCCTCACATTTTAAAAAAAGAGGGGATAGGTGCGGGGTCTTTAGCATTTGAAAACCTGGAAAATATTGATGTTACAGTATGGGTTAAGTTCGCAAACTGAGATGCTGACTTTTTTCAAAGTAGAGCCAAGCTCGGTATCTAAGAATGGACTGTCTTTTTATTTGCTATAGTTCAATTTTAAATCTGTCATAAGATGGTTGTGAATCAAGACCACAACTCTACCCTGTAATTAAAGAGGTCTTGAAAAATGAAAGCATAAGTGCTAAGTATGTTGTTAGATTACTTCAAGCTGTAGGCAAGGGCTCATATGATTGAATTATCCTTCATTCAATCAATCCATTTGTAAAGCAATCAATCAAATAGAAAACTAGAGCCCAAAGATACAGTTTTAGTTAAATCACAGTCTATCTACATTTCTCCCTAGGATTTTTTGGGTGGGTGGTGGTGATGATTTGAGTCACCTAGTGATGTTTCTTCAGTAACATTGAAACCTTAGCACTTCATTACTATATTTATCTATTTCTGAATTTGAAATTTAATTCTGATTGCTCCCTTTATCGCTGTTCTCAATTGAGTGGGGACAACTCTCAATATTCATGTAGAAAATGTGCACATTTCACAAATATTGTTTTTGATCCAAAGAAAAGACTGCTCTTTCTTCTTAAGGTAATGGAGAAGCCATATTCCATTAGCTTTGAATAAGTTACTTGGTTTTCATGCCTATCATAATAAACCATAGTTTGCTGTTATATCCAAACACAGCAATATATAAATCAAACATATTTGGGTATGTGCTAATATCATTGACATACAATTCATGAAGTAATATCTTTACTATCAAATGGAAAATATTTGATTATTTTTAATGTAATTCATGAGAAATTATTGGAGGAGAGAAGTTGTTTTCAAATCAGGACAAGATCCAGTGTGGTTTACATCCTTAAAATATATTACCCCAAGAAACTGTATCTGCCAATTTATAATCTGGAAACTGCTGAAGGAGCTTAGAATGTAAGTTCCTGAATAAGAAGGAAATCCATTACAAATATACTGGTTTTATGCAACTTCAAACATGATGTGGATTTGCAAGCAGAATCTATGAATTGCACTTACGAAATGAATTCCCAATATTCATGGAGTCAGAAGAGTATGTGCAGAAATACAACCCCTGGCACATTTGATACAAATGCAGGAGACAACTCTGTTCTAATATACAGTATGTGTATGTACGTGTATGTGTTTGCTTAATTGTTTGTTCGATTTCTATAGCTGCCCAACTCAACCAAGTGATTCTGGGTGGCTTACAGTTCTCAAATTATAAAACAATCAAAACAAATAAAAAAAACAATAAATCCATCCACAAAATAAATAAGTACAAACAGCAGCCTGGACGATTAATGAACCAATAGTAAAGCCATATATACACACACCTGATGTAAAGGACATATTTCATCATTTCTGAAATGACAGGCAAAGACATCAAGCCCCCTCACCAAACTAACCAAATACAGCAAGAGAAGAATCCTGGTTTTGAGCAGGAAAAATGAAGCTATTATGGTGCCTGTGAAAAATGTCCTTTAATTTTTTTAACAATCAATTTAAGAGAAAATATTTATATTATTTCTGATATTGTATAGAAATATTACAGAATTATATTTCTAAGTAGACCATGAGCTTCCTCTAATACTGTTTTTAGGGGCTGTTTGGTTGGTCTTAGACTGCTTTATACCAGCTGTCCTTATTATATACTAAGGATTATAACGGATAATTTTATTCATCCTATCAAATTGCAGTGCATGTTCCTCTGGAGTGGAGAAATGGAGAACAAATTTGGATTCTTATTGTTTTAAAAAATATGAATCTATCCTAGTCATACTTCACAAACCTCATAACATCAGCATCTGTCTGAATTTTGCAACAAACAAATATGCATAGTTGGGAAAGTATATATAATGTTTTGCATTTGACAAAAATATTTGAAGGAATGCATAAACTAGGAACATAATGTAGATATTAGGAAAATGTAGATATAACATATAAACCAAACATGTAAAAATTTCATATAACTATTTTCTTCTGCCAATGCACATTTTATTCATGAATGGGTATATTTTGGAAACAGCAAATTGACAGATTTGCCAGATCTTCTTCTCTCTTTTTTATTTTTTGCAATAATTGTATTAAAGATTCTAAAGATAAAAGACTAGTACAAACTAAAGAATGTATAAAAAGTAAAGAAAAGTACAAAGATAGAAAAGAAGAAAAGAAAAAAAAGAAAAGAAAATATATAAAAGATGGTTCCCCTTACAAAACAAGTATAAACAATTTTAGTAACTTCTCCAGGATTTTTTAAAAAATCCTTTCTTTCTATATCTCATCCCTTAAAAATAATCAAATAGTAAAAACCATTGTTCAGTCCTTATCAGCAAAAGTCTATTAAGAGCTACCAGAAATATTAATGTATATAATTTAATGAAAATACATCCATTTTGATCTATAATCAAAAAATCCATTTTTGTTATCCAAACTTATCACTAAAAAGTGAAAGGAATCCCTCTCTCTTTGCAAACAGACAGATCTGCCAATTCTGTTGCTTTTATTTTTGAATCAAATCCAATATTAGACCTCCTTTTTTTCTTTGAAGTATTTTTTTTTAAAACTACTCATCTTGACGATTTTTATAATGGCCTTCAGAACCTTAACCGGAATTTAAAGCAGATGAATGAAAAGACATCAATTTGTCATATGAAATTATGAACCTATTGGAAGAGATATCTCTAATACTTCCCCGACAATTTTTGAAAATCAAAAATACAGATGTATTATATGCTATCTTACTCATCAAAATCAGCTGAAAGCTACCTCTAACTAAACCCACCTTAATTCTATTTAGGTGAAGAAGGTAAGTTCTTTGAGAATGAAGGTCATGAAAGGTAGGATTATAGCTTCATCATGAAGCTTAAATCTTTTTTTTGTGGGGTGGGAGGAGAGATTGAATAAGAGATAGGAAAAAAAGGTAGGATGGCACAGGGAATCATATAATAAAGAAGGAACTACAGAACAATGTGATGCTGAGGGAGTCTATACACCAGCAGGAGATTAAAGGCCAAGAGGGCATGAAAACACTTGAACGTGAGGCAAACTCCCTCAGATATGTGCCAACACTTCCTTCTTGAAGAAGGAAAGGAGTTGGTGCTTCAAGAGAACCAAGTCGATGTATTTCAGGTGATTTCTTTTGCAGGCTGGAATAAGAAAGCGTCAAACAAAGATCTCCTTATTCTGGTGCCTCACAAAAACCCGCATCCAGCATACAAAGCAATTATTTGTTCAGCCCTGTTCTCCTGTGAGATAATTGCATGAATTGTGATGTGTGAGATGAATCTCTGAAGACAATATTTTCAGCCTTCTATTCATCCTTGAGATGAAAAGGGAAAGAGTAGAGGGAAGGAACTATGAGTTGTGCCTCCAAAGGAGGCTCACTCCTCAGCGTATTGGGGTTATTGCATACTTAACCACCACAGGGCATCTCTAAGCAGCCAAAAGAAAAAAAGGAAGGATTCTGCAAGATTTATTTGGTTTTGTTATACAAGATGCTGGCCGTAAAGAGCTTTTGTTAAATCTAAAGACTTTTATGAACATAAAATCAAATTAAACAGCACATTAAGGGTTCTATCTTTTCTGACTGATGTGCACGCGCAAACAACTCTCATTAACAGTAATGGCAGTTACGCACGCGCATCACTCGGAAAACAGATCCCTAAGTGCTTTATTGTTTTTCCTGGAGATTTTTCTCTATTGGACTTTAATTAAGCTCCTGCTAGGTTTACAAGTTTTCCTCTTTTTTTTCTTTTTTCTTTTGGGTTCTTCCTTTTTCCAAAAGAAAACAAAATATGAAATCAATTTCTTTGCCAGATAAGATTTCTCTTCCCTTCCCATTGTTACAATTATGGTAAAGATATTAAAATTAAAGTTTTTTTTAGAAATAGGACACCTGTCCTGAAAGGGAAATCATGCCACCCTGAAATAGATTTGCCAAACGGACAGGAAAAAAAAAGAAAATGACTTGGCCTGTGATGTTAACAACAGCTTGATTGACACAAATCAGCAGGTGAAACTTTTAATGCTTTTTATGTTAATAAACCTGCTGTTAATGATACAACTGCAGGATGGCAAACCTAAGCAATAATAATAATAATAATAATTTATAAACTATTATGAGCGCTATAAATATGTATGGTTGGGACTGCAAAAGACAAATCATTCACTGTATTGCTGCTATAGATACTATTTCCTTTTTTTCCAAGGCATGCGTATACTTTATAATATTCCAAACTATGAATATTAATCCTTCCTAACAGTGCCATGTTTGGGATGCCTGAATTATGAGCAAAACATGTTGGAGATATTATGTATACATACACACACACACACACACACACACACACACACACACACTGAATGCAACTCTTCTGATCTGAAGCCTTTTCGTTTCTTTAGAAAAAGCACATAGGTATTTAATTAACTCCTACTGTATGTGATGTACTTACTTATTGCCTCCACAAACTGTTCAAAGAAGCAGTATGGGAACAGAGGCTCAGGCAGTTCTCTGAAAAACATCTTGAGTGCTCCAGTGACAACGTGGATGTCCTCCCACTGGCTGTCGTCCAAATTCAGCTTCTCTTCTGGGAAAACACGAGGAGAAATGGAACAACTGGTTTTAATGAAACAATTACAAGACACTAATTATTATGTTAATGTTTGCCTACTATCATCAGCAACCGTTAACAGCCTTCTGCACCTAGAGGTTTGGTGCTGTGCATGTTTTTTTTTTTTTTTCCCCTCTCTCTCTCTCCTCCTTTCTTTCTATTTTTTTCCCTGTCGGAAGAGAACATTTTCAATGGAATACCATCTGTAGGAATGCAGCTAACGGGAAAAAAACACACAAAAACAAAACAGCCTCCCCCCCAACACTCCCTCCCCCCCCCAAGAATAAGAGGCACAAAGAGACTGGAACATTGACACAGGATGTCAAATACATTTATTCCCAGAATGCATCAGTAGCAAAAATTAGCATCCCGGCTCAACATGATTCAAAGCTATTTGATTTCAAGGCCAAGGGGCTAAGAGTTGCCAATGATGACCAGCTCAAGGGACCGGCCTAAAGGCCTTGCTGCGCCAACAGGAGACATATGCTAAATACAGGAATACAAAATGAGTTATTGCTTTACATGTGTTACTCTTGCCATGTACAAGGGAATAATGGGCGACACTTTTTCCCCTTCATTTCATTTCTTTTTTTCTGAATGCAGTGCCATCAAGGAATTAGGGGAGGGGGAGATATTAATTCCGACTTCAAAAATATTTTGTTTGTTTGTTCCTTTTTTAAAAACTCGGAGAAGATTCGCCCAGCAACAATATTAGACAGACCCCTGTTGGCCTACCTAAGCTATGCAAAGCTGTCAAAAATGATAACACGCTAAAGACAAACCACACATGCTTGCAAAACTGATTTTCTGAACAACAGAAATCCTTTCTTTTGAAGCTTGACTGAGCTGGAAATTTAAATATAAAAGGAGAAGAAAAGCAAAAAATAATTTTAATAGAAAAGATAGGGAGATTATTACTTTCCTTTCCTTTGAATACTTGTTAGAAACATCTGGTATTATTTTACAGCAACAATAAACCCCAGACCTGACACAACTCACAAAAAGTTAAAAAGCTTGTCAGTCTGAATTAAAAGGAAGTGACATTTTCTATAGTATCACCTGTTCCCTGAAATGACAGAATTCTTTAAAAAGTGGCATTGTTTTTACTGAGATATTCACTTAATATGTTAGCATAAAACTATTGGAGAACAATAGAAATATAATCCCGGTAATTTTGACAAATAATTAAGTAGGTCTTATTTAGCTATTGGTAATATTATTATTAGTCATATATGGAAAACATTTTTTTAAAAAAAGCTATGTACATTATTTAACTATAATAGTTACTTCTCTTTGTAGAAGGAATTCAAATTTAAGACATATTTGATTTTTTCCCCCCTGCATTAACATTCATATATCTTTTTAGGTGAACTGTTTTTTTTAAATTTTATTCACTGAAAAATATACTTTTAAGTTTTCTTTTTTTTAAAGAAAAAAGTGACTCATCAATCACAATTACTTTAGATCCACACAGAAACAATTAGGCTCTTGAAATTTAATAAAAGAGTGGGCTTAAAAACAAAGCAGGCAAATCAGTAAAAAAAAAAACCTTCAAGATAAAATTTGATTGATTGTATTTCAACAATTAGCCTTTTATTTATTTATTTCCTTAACATGCCATTGAAATAAGACAGGCAGTGACTTAGCAGGCCAGTTTTACACAGTTGTCTACTCACAATAGCTTCAGAAGGAGAGACCTGGTGGGGTTTACTGTCACTTTAAAGAACAGGGTGGGTTTTCACATTGTTGAAATCTGTCAGATATTTTGAAATGTCCTTCTCACTATGGTGCCACACCCCCTGCGTGCCCTTATAATAAAATTGGTTTTTCTCCTGATTAAATCATTTTCTCCCTACCCTCTACCATCCTTCTCATAATGGACCTGTGTGCACTACAGCTGGTGTTCTTCCCATGGTACCAATTCTTACTTTATCTTTTAAGCACTTTGCTGCTAAGATCTCATGCAGAGTGCTTATGTTTTGTTAAGAGCTTCATTCTTAGAGAAATAGCTTAACACATGTTCTAAAAATGTTGTACAACTTATTGCTTAAAACACATTTTGAAAATGTATAAGCACTGTAGCTCTGGCACCAATCTTTAAGTAGAAACCTTTAAAAACAAAACAGAACAGGGAAAAATATATAAATATATATTTTGCTTTATTTGCTCTCTCCACCGATCCCCATACATTTGGTTGAAACATTTAAAGTGGAATATACGAATCTGAAGACATTATCAAGAATTATCTATCCAGATTTTTGCAGTGTTTCCAGATCTTCAAAGAAAAGTGTTAGGAATTATCATCTTGAAAGCAAAGGGTGTCATTTTACCCTCAAGCAATAAAATGACTTTTAAAAAAAAGTTTGTGAAAAGGAAGCCTGCCAAATTAAAAGGAATTGAAACTCCCGTTCTTCCCTACCCAAGATAGCCCTTTAATTTTGGCCATTAGCCACATTTGAATAAAACTGAATATAGACTATAATAGGACTTCTTCAAGGGTGACCTTCTTAGGAGAGGACTGTCAAGCTTGAATCGGTTGCAGGGGGTGTATAGTTTACGCTTGCATACATGCATGCAAACTCACATGTATGCAATGGAGATTATATGACAAAATGTGCAAATCCGCAGGTAGTATTAAGCCAGCATATATATGTGTGTGTGTATGTATGTATGTGTGTGTGTGTGTGTGTGTGTATATATATATATATATATATATATATATATATATATATATATATATATATATATATATATATATATTCTGCACAAACAGAAAAATATCCACCATCCTTAGAAACCCCAAAGATAAAATTGAATTAGAAAATCAAGGAGTATACGAAATCCCATGCACCACTTGTCCCACCACATACATCGGACAAACCAACAGAAGAATAAGTGCACGCATTGAAGAACATAAGAACTCAGTCAAAAAAGAGGAACCAACATCTTCCCTGGTCCAACACCTTAAAGCCACAGGACATGAAATTGACTTTAAAAATACCAGAACCATTGCCAAAAGTGAACATTTTAATAACAGAATAATCAGAGAAGCCATCGAGATAGAAAAACGCCCACACAGCATGAACAAGCGAGATGATACCTCCCGCCTACCAGCCATTTGGAAACCTGCCCTTATTGACAAACGACTCCCTAACCCCAAAATCTTAAACCCCTCTGCAACTCAGACTAACCTGAGCACAACCAAACAGAACACTCCCCCAGCCAATCAGAGCACAGCCAAGCCCCTAACCATTCAGAACACACCTCCACCCAATCAGAACACAGCCAAGCTCCCACCCAATCAGTTCATACCCCCACTGGCAGTTAAAAGGAAGAAACAGCTAAGACCACACATTGCTGCTCAAAGCACGAAGCTGAAAACACCAGCCTGAAGATGACGAATGTGACTTCGTCGAAACGTTGCCAAGACACTTCCAATTTTACGCGGGAGAAAACCCGAACAACCAAAGACCTATATATATATATATATATTATATATATATATATATATATATATATATATGTCTTTGGTTATTCGGGTTTTCTCCCACGTAAAATTGGAAGTGTCTTGGCGACATTTCGATGAAGTCTCATTCGTCATCTTCAGGCTGGTACTTTCGGCTTCGTGCTTCTAGGAGCACGAAGCCGAAAGCACCAGCCTGAAGATGACGAATGAGACTTCGTCGAAACGTCACCAAGACACTTCCAATTTTACGTGGGAGAAAACCCGAATAACCAAAGACCTACATACAAACTCCCACGAAAACCTCAGAATATATATATATATATATCAACAACACCTACAAGAAAATGTTTACTCACATGATATACAGCTGTCCTTAGTTTTTGACACCCAGTCAATCTTTATCAGGCCATTTGGAAAGCCACCTTTTATATTTTTAAAAGAATGATGTACTTGTCTAAATCATAAAGTTCCCCAAGCATGCTGATACATCCCTCTTATTTTTCAGTAGCATGAAACGGTCTCCATTTCTGTCTCTACTAGGGCACTGTGCAATTAGAGATTATGATGATAATAAACAATAACAGGATTTGCAGCATGGACCCATGAAAGAGGGCTATCACTGTACATCTGACTTGGAGCAATACTGGATCATTGTTTTCTGTTTAGGTTGAAGAGTGCTCTAGGTCATAAGCTGACCAGTTCATGTCTCCTACTATTAGTGGAAGATGAACAGACAAATTGTTGGAATATGTAAGGTCCCTACTTGAGCAAAGGAAGTGCTTTATTAGACTTCTGAGTATGAATGAGAGAATGTGAATACGGTGAATATGAATTTTGGTCAAAGTTAAAAAAAGAAGTACTGTATATCCTATGGAATAAAAAGAGAGAGAGAGATGCACACACACACACACAAGCGCGCGCACACACACACACACATATAAAGAATATCTCATCACTCCCACCCATGCCCAGAAGGAAGGTACAAAGAATAAAAATACATAAAGGATAGACTGAAGCAAAGAAAGAATAACTAGATTGGAGCATGGATATTTTCTTTCTTGGAGAGCTCAGGAATGTGGAGATATGGAACATGGATTGACTGCTTTGCAGCAATACTATTTTCTCTTATCCAGCTGATCTTAAGTTATATGTTCATAAATCTGTCCAGTATTAATAGAAAGGGTCTCTGTCTCTGGTGCTTTTTCCTTTCAAAAGGAGGAAGTGTTGCCTCTGAAACTTCTCCCTACTAAAGCAAGGTACAACAACACTAAACAACAGTGGTTTATTTTCTGAATATTTTTAGAAACAACCCTTTATCAATTGAAATGGTATCTTGTCATGTTATAGTGTTTTGGAGACCCCCCTGTTCTTTTTTCTGTGTGTGTGTGTGTGTGTGTGTCTGTGTTACATTTAGAGTATGGGATTCTGAAAGGGCTTTCTCTCTATTTTGGTTCTGGAAACTGCAAGCACAGATAAAAGGTCACAGACTGTTTCCTAGGAGTCAGGAGAT